GGACAAAGTCAAGATGTAAACCGGAAAAGACAAAATGACAACAAAGAACTAAGGAAACCTCAGGAAGGTGTCGCACAAGAGTCAGAACAATCTGAGGAACAGGAGGAATACACATATCACTGGAAAAGTGTACCTGTGTATGATCTAAGCGCAAGATCTCAACCTCAATCAGAGCCTGAACTCAGAGCCACAGCCCCTGAATTTCAACCTGTTAAACAAATTATTCAACCATCTACCACACAGCAGCAATGTTCCCAGCCGCATGTCAAAGTACAATGTCCAAAAGCACTAATCACAGCTGCTGTACCAGATTCAGCACCATAGACAGTTCCTATCATCACAACAACTGCTGAGAAATATCCAGTATCGGACTCATATGCTCTGTTCAAAATCCTGGGCTGCGTCCTTAGAAGGCCAGATTCGAAGGACGATGATGTCATAGCACGGCACCAAGGTCTGGTCGCATTCCAAGAGTTCTCTTTATGCGGCCTTAAAATGCGGCCTTCTTTTTGCCCGATTTGAAGGACGGGTCCGATGTATCCTCAGTATCCTTGGTTTACCCAGGATTCATTGCGAGATTCATTACGAGACCAAGAAAGCTGTGATCAGAGGAAAGGTTACTTGGCGCAGAACAGTGGTGAAAATTGGAAGTTAAGTTTAATATGATACAAGTCTGTGAATATTTTTTTATTTGTTTTATTTGTTCCTGCTGGATGGCACCTTTATTCCACTCTGGATTCTTGTGAGTGTAGTCTTTGTTCACTTTATAATAAAAAAAAACAAATAAACAAACAGTTTTGAAAACGTCGGTTCTCATTTTTTTGTCCTGCTTTGTGTGTCAACTTTCACAGTCACCGCCGAAGGGTAGACCTGTCCGAATTCACAGCCAAAACACTTCCGGTCTCCTTATTTTCACGGACTTCTAAGGATCCTGTCTAGGTAGACCGCATCCTTGGAGGATGCAGCCCAGGATTTCGAACAGAGACAAAGATTGCAATGGAAGCCATTGCACTCATTATCCTCAACAGCTCTTCCTGTTAGCATTTTAGTCCCCCCTCTGTACAATTATGTACAATTGTACAGAATTCTTCTCTCTTTTGTGAACATGTGCTACAGGAGGCTTCCCAGATTGATACCATGCACAATCTGGCTCAGGCAAGGTTAACGTTTCTTAACATGCACTTGTTCTTACTACCTGCAGCATTTTTCCTTGTCTGTGTTTCGGTTGTTCTGTGTTGGTCTCATTTTTGTGTTTGATGGTCTTTTTTATTTGCTAGTCTAATTTATGAGTTTGCAATACCTTTTACTGTTCATTTCAAGGTAATGTGCATTTTACTGCTGTAAGTGGCTTATTCACTGTTGAAAAGCTGTATGCATCCAAATTGTGTTTTGTATACACTCTGTTTACAAAATGACAATAAAGTTTGTCTAAGTCTAAAGTTGCTCTGAAATCATGTGTTTACATCATGGTTGCACCCCTTGGCAACCACATTTCTTTCCCTACTGAACTCACCTCATCAGTGTTGGCTTCGATGACCTTGCTCATCATGTTCACATAATCGTCTTCAGACTCCACACTGACTAGATCAAAGCGAAGGCCAATATCATTCAGGCTTCGGCAGTGTTCCAGGGCCTCCTCCCAGCTCTTGTTCTCCTTTACCAGTACCAAATTAATATTTCCATCCCAGAAACAGATGAAGGGAAGACGAGCATCACATAACTTTGTCTCCATCAGCTTGGTCAGTGAGAAGATGCTCACACAGTCACCTTCTCCACTTGGCCCAGTTTCCGTCCAGTTTACATAGTATGCATGCGAGCTCAATTCTAAAACAGAAATCAAAGCTTAAACTCAATAAGAAGCTTATGGTCTGTTTATTGAAAGGGAAAGCAAGATATCCATCCTATCCTATTTATGTGCCTCATGATTGTTTACATTTTCAATGTTTGTAACTTTAGTGTTTGCATTGTCAAAATTTTAATTTCAAAGTTTAAATATGTTGGGTCATATGTGGTGATATCATTCAGTGTATCAGTGGAATCCCAATTATAATATCAGTCATTACAGATTTTAACTCTGGTCATTACCTGCTCTCCGCAGTCCAGTCCAGCAGGGAAAGTCCAACTCAGTGAATATGTCGTTCATACTGGAAGTTCGGAAGCGGGCTAAATCACCATGCTGAAGCCTACAGTACTCAAGCGCCTCAAGCCAAGTCTTTGCTTCTGTTACAAATGTGTATGCATCATCACGCTGACAGACAAACATCAGACGAGTTTGACAATTTTGTATGTGAAATCTTTGGAGAAAAAAGAAAAACACAATTGATACAAGGCAATCTTAATCCAGCAGAGTAAATGACCAAATATCCAAAAGAAAACTGTCAGGTTTCAGCATGCCAACACAGCAGGCCATTAAAATGTTGCCCCCCCCCCCAAGTTTTCAGTTAAGTGGATGGTTTGATAGTCCTGCAATTTATTTACATGTGACTATTGAGAAAAATACCAACCATACAACCACATCAGAGCAGTATTTCTAATTGCTAGAACAGAATACTTGAACGAGCATCATTGGCATAATTTTTACACTTGGTTACAAATTTTTTCTAAAACAATTTAGTGAATAATTTGAACAAACCTTTATTGACTTTTATATTTCTGATGTACCTTAACTGAAGAAGTAAATGAATATTGTTTACACTTTGATATAGTTTTAATAGGATCAAAACAAGTTTTTCTGTAAAATTTAATATTATTACTTAATTGATAACTAAATAAGAAAAGAAAACATATAAGCAAATAAAAAGAAGCTAAATTTAGCTTCCCTCAAAAGTTGGACAATAATGAGTCAAAAAGAAAGTGTGATAGCTGTTTTGCTTTTAATAAAGGGGAAATTATCGTTTCCTGATCCCTATTCATTCAGAAAAGAATTTCTGATTAAATAAAACCACCTAGAGTATGTTGTGCAGATATACACGGATGGACAAAAAATTTAAACTTCTATGAAAATGAGCAAATGAAAGTCAGAAGTTGCTTTTCAACCATCCTTTAACATAATTTTAATTATAAACTCATGATTTAGGCCTGAACAAAACTAATGGTACCCTTCACTGCAAATATTGTTGCACAACCTTTTGAGACAAGTTCTATAACTGTCAATGAGACTTTCTTAATCTCTCTGCGGGTGTTTTTTCCAACTCCTCATATGTAAACTGCTCCAGTTGTCTTATGTTTGAAGGTTGCCTTTTCAAGATGTTATCACTTAACTTTTTCCAAGGATGCTCAATAGGATTTAAGACAGGACTCTTAGCTCTTTTTAGCAGTGTGTTTTGGTTCATTATGCTGTCGCAGACCCGTGACCTGTGACTGAGACCAAGCTTTCTGATACTTGACATCTGTACCCAATGTACCCCACACAGTTTCAAGACAGATTGTGCAAGATAAAGCAAAGCAGCCACAGAACATAAAAGAGCCTTCTCCATGTTTTACAGTAATGACAGTTTTTTTGTTTAAGAACATACAGCTGATGTGCCTTGGGAAATAATACGATTTTTGTCTAATCCAGGGCCTGAAGTTAACTGTTTTGGCCACCAGCCACCCAGAATGGCTGGTGGTATCAAGCAGATTATATATGCTCCTATAGCCTTAACCTTTAACATGCTTGTCTCAATTTTTTTTTTTCCAATCTCCTGAGATTACTCTTTCCATTGTTTCCTCTGGGCTGTGTTGAATGTGGTACACACCATGTCACCAAATAGCATAGTGTCTATCAGTAGCCCTATACATAGGCCTACTGACTGATTGCAAGATTGCAGAGACTTGTCATGTTAATTAGTATAAACACCCTGATTTAATTTGTCTTTGATATCTTTAATACATCTTTTCTAGGGGTACCATCATTTCTGTCCGGGCTTATTTTTATAATTTTTGTAAAGCCATTCTGTTTTTCATTTTCATAGAATTTTTATTCATCATTGATTTTTTCAGAATCAAGTTATTTCTGTAACCATTGTGAGTTTTTATTTCATGTTTCATTTATGTGCATAGTGTATAGTCTGCCTTTTGCTAAGCACAAGCCCTCACATCCTTACTAGCTATGTTAAGGTCAGGACTCAGTCCACTGCACCTCTACTGGCCATTGGGGCAGTTGCAGGCAAACAACTTCACCAAACAGCTAACATAAGGCAGGGTGAATGTCGTAGTAAATCTACTCTCCAGTCCCATCCAAGAAGGGTGTCAGACAATCTTGGTCTAACAAGCACTCTCATTGTGGTCTGAACCAAAGACAGTTGTTGAACAGTTGGGGCCAGCAATTTTTTTTTCTCACTGATATCTCATGCAAATATGCCAGCTATCTTACCTAAGTTTTCCAACCACTCCCCACTGGAGCTGTTACAGTATAGGCACACAGACTGACATTGAAGAGGACATTTCCCCCTACAAGGCTGAAGGTGTTCATGATCCTGCTGCACCTACTAAGCTGCTCATTGACTATGTTATGGTCTTTTAAGACTCAAGACAAGAGCACAGTCTACCACATGGCATAATATTCTCCATGGCTATGTCCATAAACTGATAGTCCATCCAGGTTATAAAGTTAGGTCTGTTCTAGTTCCATTTCTGATGTGAGCATTCTTTTAGCTTCCCAATTTGACACTGGAGGTTATAAGTGGTCTTTTAAGTTTTTCAACGGTGAGATTAAGTACGGCTTAATTAGTTCTTTATTTAACTGAAGAACTCCTGCTTTTCTGTGATTTGATGTGTTCAAGTTGTATATTTGAACATAATTGCTTTGAGCCATAAAAGTGTGGTTGTTGTTAATTTGCATTATTGATATGCAGTCTCCTTGACTACTGGTGTACACTCTTTCAAATTAACAGCTTGATTTATATAATGGAATTTCTTGTGGTTTGGTTAATGCTTAAGATTTTTTAATCCTATTCAAATAAGAAAAATTGCACAAGTGGTAGTGTAGATATATGGCCCCTTAGATGACAGAAATTTAACAAATTACTAGGTTCAATTAACCTGATTGTTACTTAAAAAAAACTCACGCATTACATTTTGTCTCTGAAGTTAACAGCAGCACAAGATCCCCACATGCGTAGATCCTTCCATCTCCAGTTTGAATAACGATAAATATATGTATGTTCATTAGACCATGTCCACCAGTAGGAATGATATTTGTATAGGCCGATCCACACCAGATATTCTTTCAAGTCCAAACTCTCCACCTCTGACTGGGTGAGGAAGGTGGCCAAATTGGTGTAATGGCTTTTGAGAAGAAAAACAAAAACACACAGGTTAAAATTGGCAATTAATAATGGTAATCACTCTATTTTTCTTCTTTTTTCCATCACCATTGAGTACTCAAATAGTTTTTTTGTGAATGAAAAGGTTGCTTTGTAGTAAGGATAAAGTAAGTTTGTGTTAGATTAACGGAAAAAAAAAAGTTAATCAAATTTTAACTAATACTATTAAGGTCTTATGGTTGTTTACAATTGGTCGAAATATTTCACAACATGATTTACTATATTTGTTAACCATTGTAAGTATTTTTGGAGAATAAGTTTAGGTCCTTTTCCAAACTTGGAGAAGTTTTTTGTCAAAGTTACAGTACATGGCCTCACAAACAAAGCCTTACTTTTAAATGCACCTGGTTTATGTGTAGGTACCTAACTATGGAGTTATTTTTGAGATTTTATTAACTCAAGGGGAAAAGAGCAATCCGAAAGGGGAAAAAAAATTTGAAAGTAAAATAAATATTTTAGAGAAAAAATGTTCACACTGAGAGCAAAAACGGAAGGTATTTGAGAGAAAATATTTTGTCCTAGGATAAATACAAGACTATTTTACATTAAAAAAAGCACTCTCAAAAATATATTTTAACTTTAAAATATTGTTTTTTTCAATCAGAGTAAAAAAAATTTCTCTAAAAAATAGATTTCACTCTCAAAACTTTTGTTTTAGACTTAGACTAAATGAAATTTTGTTTTGTACAACTCTCATGACAAATCTAAGTGCAGCAGTGATCAAATGTAAACAGTGTGGGAGAAAATGTATGCAATTATGCAGTGTTTTGGTCTGTGTTGTCAGTTTGATTTAGAGTTCAGACATGATTTAAAGTTTTTTCAACAGTTCAGCAGTCTAATGGCAGTGGGGAAGAATCTGCCGAACCTGCTTTGAATGCTTTGTAGCCTCTTCGCAGAGGGCAGCAGGGAGAACAGTCCATGGTGGGGGTGTGAGGGTTCATTGATGATGTGAATGAATGAATGCGGTTAGGTACAAGATTACACGCAGCTCCTCTCTATAGTCCTGGTCGTTGTCTGCAAACTTCACAATGTGATTGGTGGTAAACCTTGGGACGCAGTCATGAGTCATCAGGGTGAACAGCAGGGGGCTCAGGACACTGCCCTGAGGGGAGCCTGTGCTTAGGGTGATGACATCAGAGGTGTTCTGTCCGATCTGGACTGACTGAGGTCTGTTTGTGAGGAAGTCTAACAGCCAATTGTGGGGTGTATCGAAGCACAGCTGTGCAATTGGCTGTTAGACTTCCTTGTCTTTCCCCAAACCTAAGTCTTTGCTCTCGATTCAGTTTTTGTTCTCTCGATGTGAAAAACGTTTCATGGGCAGGCCTGAGTTCTATTGGGCAGTTTCAACAGAATTGACAGCTAAGTTGTGATATTAGGTGCAAAGTTCGCATGAGGAAACTTGCTTTCCCTGAGTGACTTGCTCCACCAGCAGGTGTGTTTGAGTTTAACAGTTCAGTTCAGTTCAGTTGCAGACAGTTTTGTCCATCTTCACCATAGACTTTTAACCTCACCCATCAAAACACCTGTAAACTCTGGTCAACATTCCAGGGGTCAATTTCAACAAGCAGATTTTTTGAGACGGTTCACAAAGAGAGTTTACTCAAACTCTGTTTCTGTTGCCGTACGAACATCCTACCCAGAGTGTCCTTGGTCTCCGCTCTCCTTACAGCCAATCACGCCGTTTTATTTCCTGATTTAGTCGGGAGATTTTTATCATAGTTTTGTGCAGGCAATAAAAAGTAAATAATTCACTGGGTACGTTATATGCATTAGGATTTAAAAACTAACATTGCATGTCCATCAGTTTTAGCTATCAGTGTAATTTTTCTTCTCTCCAATATATTAACTTTGAATTTAAAATTTTCCAATTTGAGATTGCTTATTTTCTTGAATTTAATAAAACACACAATAATCCCATATTAGAGGCCATGGACTGAAATCTTCAAAAAGTAAAAAAAAAAACCTAAACGTCCTAAACAGAACTTCGAATGACTTTTAGAGCTTTGTATTATTTTCCTTTCAATTCGCAATAAGCAATTCCTT